CCCAATCAAGCATGCCCTAAGAACAAATAATTCTCATCACATCACCTTTTTCTCCAGCTCAAGAAGGGATATTCCAGGACTGAAATTTTCAGAATTTCGCATAGAAACAGCAATGCCCACCCTTGGAGACAAATACATGTCATTTCGTGATGAAAACAGCATAACACCACCACGGCCAACATAATCTTGAGGAGAGAGCATACTGGGTACTGGACTTGTATCTTCAATCGCTTCCAATACTTGAATATTTCTCCTCATACCAGCCTGTCTCCTGACCACTGGTGTTGACGGATATTTCGATGCTGACTTTGCAGACTTAACTGCTTTGGATACCATAAAAGAATCCACTTCTGCACTTTCCAGCGGCTCAATTTCCACTACACGATATGCCAACGGGAGGAAGGAATCATTATTTATCCAGTAGGGAACAAAAAACCTGATTGTTTTCGGGGCAGCTGCAGTTCCTCCCAAATCCCGCTCAATGCTGACCCGTATCCTCCTGCAAGCAAGAATTGACAAAAAAATGAAAGATTTGTAGTAAAAATATTTTGTGAAAAAATCACATAGGTTATGAAAAAATATTTTGTGGTAAAAGATTTCAAGTTACGCAAGCATCCCTGGACGCTAGTGACTCGTGGCCAAACAAAAACCTAACCTAGTTGACATTAAGACAACCATATATAATCACATTGGTTATGGAAAAATATTTTGAGGTAAGAGTTTTGAAGTTACACAATCATCCCTGGACGCTAGTGACTTGTGGCCAAACAAAATTTAAAGGTAGTGCATCGATACTTGTCGACAATACAGTTGACACAGAAAGCCTCGGTTCAATGAAATGGAATCCTTATATTTCATAAGGGAACCATATGTCCTCATGAGGACACGTCCCTTCTTGACATTCTCATATTCCAGAAGTATGTGGACCATGGTAGCAGCAAAGCGGCAGTCAAGATACAGAAGAAGAAATTGTTGCAACATACTAAAAATAACTTTCAAGATTATACCTTTTTCTTTGCTGATGAAGCATCCAAAATGAAGAAACATGATTACCGCCCCCCATATCCAAAATAAGAACAGGGTCCTGATTTACCAGAGACAGAAAGAAGGCATCACCAAATAAATTTTCATGGAGAAATAATTCCAAGCACATATATTTCCAAAACATGCATGCATATGCTACCATGCAAACTAAAAAAAAAATAAAAAAATACCTTTTCTACCACCCAACCACCCTGAACAAATAACATAACGTATATCGGATTCCGTATGTCAGCAGTGTATACGTGTACAGTTCCACGAGATGCTACAAAACCAGTCTGTCTTTCTATATTTTTGCCATCCCTCAGCTTTTCCCAGATTTTAAATTCTGCAGAGCAAGGAAGTCTGTTTTCCATCCTCAGAGGCGAGCTGGCCGATATTTTCCAGTCGTAAACAGGGGTATTAAGATCTGTATGAAGAGCTGATGCATCTGTGCCAATTGAGAGCCAGAACAATCTACCACTAGATCCAGGACAGCACCAAAGAAGATCCTTCTTTTCAAGCTGATCTAGCCTCAACGGAGTAATTGTAGTTTTACTTGCATGTTTTAAGGTACTTTGACGAGAAAGTGAAGGTTGATCAACAGATAATGAATCCTTCTCCACAGGGACTGGTTGGCCCCATGCATAGGAAGTTTGAGAATCATCACTGTATGGACGAATTCGTAGACATTGGTTGGAATCCCGCAACATGCTTCTCCAGGGTAAAACCGATGAGCTACCAGGACAAATAGTGACGTCAAGGAAATCCTGGTTTGTTATAGCCCGGTCATTGACTTCTTGCCTAGTGCGGGCCCAACGCCTACGGCGAACTGCATCACGAGCTGATTTTGTACCCGATTTGGGAGAATTTGGAGGCCATTTTAAACTTTCATAGTCAGGCCCATAAGCCCAACCCTCAGAATCAACAAACTGAGATCTGTCAACAGTCCACGTTGATACCCATTTCCATCCGGGGGGAAGAGGAGGTTCAAAGAATCCCTTCACAAAATTAAGAAAACATCATCCAATTTGAAGAGACATAGGAACCAATATTTATCACACAAAAGTAAAATAAAAACTAGAAAGAAACTCACTTTAGATGAATATGAAAAATCCCTTGTACTCCAGCGACCTGGATTCTTACCAGGGGAGCCATATTCAGTATTACCCCAACCAGATACTGGATGATATAGTTGATTTTCAAAGATCTCTTCAGTGATAGTGTTATTTTTGCTTGTCCTAGAGGATACCTCATGACCATTTAACACTGAGACTGGACATGTTGAGATATTCAATCTGATATCTGATTCATTTATCACCACAGCAAGACCCCTGAAAACTGCATGCTTCTTCCCATCTTTCATTGACACCTCTAGTGCCACAAAATCATCTTTCAGTTTCCTGGGAATTACCGATAGAGGAAGTAATGAGCGAAAACCATCCCATGGACCTTCTGGACCAAGTCCAACCCAGAAACCCATATCTTCATCTAAACCACCTTCATCTCCCCGTTTATTATCGAAGTCATTAACCACGCTTTTCTCGATGAATGAAGTGGAAACCAAAAGGCAAGAATGAGAATTCGTTTCAACATCATGCTGGCCCTGAAAGAGAGTCACAATGGAAGTTATTATATAACAAGTGAAGAAGAAACCAGAGAGAGAGAGATCCTACATACCATTCTTTTCAATGGATAACATGAAACACTTTGAACCTCAGACACTTGATGGAGCATTTTAGCAGAAGAAATTTTTTTCAACAAGCTAATGCCATGTCCAACAGAAAACGAGCATGCACCCACAACCTCCCCTGAAAACAGTTAGAAACCCACAAGGTCAAATTATCTGTAAGTTATACATCCCAAAAGGCAACTATTGTAAATTCTAAGCAAATATGTGAAAACAGTTAGAATCCACTAGGTCAAACTATCTGTTTAAGTTATACATCTCAAAAGGCAACTATTGGAAATTCTAAGCAAACAAACCAGCCAATGGCTAAGTGGTCAATACCTTTACCAGCCTTTGCAGCAAGGTTTGTTACCTCCACCTCCAACTTAGCTGTTCCCTGAGACAAGTATATGTCTAAAAGTTTAGATAAACTTAGATACCTTCAAAAATACCAGTCAAACAAAAAGAAAAAAAATCCTAGTTAATATGACTGCTAAAGGCCAACAGAAATATAGAGAAACTGAAGAAGAGTTGGCTCTTGGAAAATATACATATCAATGATAAAGGAGTGAACAGCATATAATACATTAAAGATAAATAAGGTTCATCATGATAATTATAAATACATGAATGTGTTCCTTTTGGGGTTTCCTTTTTCAATTTATTTATCCCCATCCTTTGTTCTCCATTTGTATTTATCAGATTGGGAGACCGGGAGATAAGCATCACCAGCCCATCTCTCTAGTTAGATAATGAAATTCACTGATGAAACAAATTACCCTCACACAAACTCCAATCTTTTATGTCCAGCTATCATAGTGTTCTAACTTGATTTTCTCCCTTTTTTCTTCTAGAGTTGGGGTTGGGTTGGCGGTTTAGCATTCTTACCTTCCGAGGAACTTCAAAAAAGAAGAGTTCGTTCCACTTCGCAATGCCATCATCAGAACCATTGGCATCGTTTGATAAAGGTTTAACACACTTTGTTCTCGCACTTTGTGGAAAAAGCTTTTGCGGATTAGCTTCTTGATTCTCTACAAGCACGCGCAAAGCACAGAAGAAACGATGACTATTTCCATCGTCAAGAAGAGGTAAACCCTGCATACAATGCGAGCAGAATTAAAAAAAATAATGATAACTGTGGTAAATAAAATCGGCATCAATTTTAAATATACTAAGTTGATAGATAACAACCTTCGCTTCAAATATTTGTATTCCAACGTAACATCGAGGTTCCTTTGATTCCTCTGAAACATTTAATCTGTCAGAATACCTTGGAGGTGCTACGAACAAAGCAGCAGAATCATCATGATGCAGTACATTTACTGTATCCAAAATGTCCTGAGTTTTTTTCAGGTATATATCGCACCCAAGTTTATTTTCAACTACCACAGTCTGAAAATCATCCTCATCCAAAGCCAGATGCGTCGATTTTTGGTCAGACACATCAAGACCAGCGGCATTCTGTGGAAGTTATTTAGCTGTCAAAAGAGGTATAAACAGTAACATGGAGAGTGTAGGCAATAATAAGAATTATTCAACCTCATAAAGTCTCATTGCTCTCTTTTCTATTTCCTTCTGCCTTTTCCACGAATCTATGGTTTGTGCTAAGGTACCAACATTTGCAGCACTCAGATTCACATTCAGAATAGTTGTAGCTGCAACTCGCATTCTTTTGCCTACACTTGCTGGTTGGCTTAAATTGGTATCATATGTTTCAAGCCTTCCAGCATAAGATAATTACTTAAAGTGGTCAGTTCGACAGGTTCAGCATTAATTATTTATTCATAAAAAGAAAAGGGTGAACGAATTAAAATAAAATAAAACGGCAACCCATGAATTCGTACTTAAATATTCCGTCGAATGGCTCAATTAGTGGTTCCCATGCTTCTAACTGAATGTTAAACGTTGATGCTGCAAATGAAGAAATCAACACGGCATTCATTGCCTCAAGGTGGCCATGACTTGCTAACTTGATGTTAGTAATTGTGGTATCAAACAAAGGAGTCATCTGGCAAGAAAACAATGGTACAGGATCAAGAAAATAATCAGGCTAAGCAACTACTGAACTAAACATTTGGAAAATCAATTTGTCAGGTATAAACCATTCCACATAAGCTGTCCAAAACAGTTAGAGAAAAGCATCTTATTTTCATCTCAGCTGTAATGTTGTCCCTTGTCTTTGGCTTGATTGAATCACCAATAGTAAATGCTAATCTGTTTGATGGCTTTTTCAGGTCAGAACGAGCAAGAAATGTGCAGGCCTGCGAAATGAAGTAGCATACCAAATGTGAGGGATACAAAAATGAAGACAGCCTTTTATGGAAAATTTTTATGAACAGAAATGGTGGAAGTAAGAGCTGTAGTAGATTAGACTCTTCGAAGTAATTAACCTGATTGTCAACTTTCCAGATACTCCAGCATTGGGATGACCTAGAACTTGATGATCTTGACATAGGCATCTCAGCTATGTTGGCTTGGCTAACCAAATCCATTCTTGGGCAGCAAATAGAGTCTAAAACAGGTGCCTCATCGTGGAGTGTGACAATACATCCCAATGAAGCATATCCAGGTGGCGCAATGGGGTACCAGAAGAAAGCTTCCTCCGAGCCTTTCTTCCCAATATGAGCAACTTTAGTAAATCGTTCAGGTTTTTCAGAAATACTGATGTCGTCAGCTTTGAAAATGATGCCTAATGGAGGAGGTTCCAAGCTGGGAGAACAGAATAAAAATTATATATATATATATAAGAAAATGGAGTATCAGTGAATTATTACTACTCCCACAAAAATACAACACCGAAAAAGAACCAAGAAAAAGAAAAAGAAAAATTGGAAAGAAGATCTTACCCTTCAGTTATGCAGTCACCCAGTATGGCATATCCAAGGCGTGGTATAGGCCTCCATATTGAAAATGATCGGCGAAGATCACCGCCTCTGTCCCACCAGATTCGCTCAAAATTTGGGGTTGACATGTAAAATGAGCTAGCTTTAGAAATTGATCTTAAAACATCCCAACCAGATGAAATTGCACCAGGGTTACTCGTCTGGAGGTATGCATTTTCATGTTCACTATTAGAATCCAGGACGGGTTCGCCTGAAGAAGCTTGCCGCTGGCTAAAGTTAAATAGAAGAAGATGATTCAGATCAAAGCAACAACTTTTTGATGGGCATTCAACTGATGGATGTGCATAAAATGACCCAAGACAGTTGTCTATTCGCCATATGCTGAATCCGGATTCAAATATGAGATTAGCAGAAGAGTTGACTAGACATTCTGAATATGCTGTTGATGTCACAAGATCAGAACGAATACAGTAAACAGTGTGATTTGGAGGTGGTTGACTTCCAACATTTGCAACACAACCCAATGCCAAGTATCCAGCAGGTGCAATAGGTAGCCAAAGAGAACAATCACGGTCAATATTTGAAAGGTCTTCTTCAGACTGTTGTTCCTGAATACTTGGAAATGTACCGATGAGCTCAAATCCAAGAGGCTTCCGAACACGACCATATGTGTTGCTTACAGACAGGACTGACTGTGAAGGAGGATTTGGCCTGTGTGGTATGAAAATTAAACAAGTCAAAGCATGCAACATGTCAAGGAGAATGTGAACTAGATGCCATCAACACAGCCAAACATTCTTATATCTTTTTTCATATCTCATTACTAAATTCATGCTAGTTGCTGGAGAGTAAACAACAAAATGTACGCTAATGCCATCACTATGTTTCAGAAGGAAAATACACAGAACACAGCAGAAAACACATATGCAGTTAAAAAACAGGAAAATCCTTTCTACACTTGTGAGTCAGTTGTAGGAGCAGAAAAGAAAATAGTTTCTGCCTTCAGCATCCCAAAAATGAAGCTCCTATTTCTCCCAAGGCGTAGTTTCATTAAAGAAATTGAGAAGGAACATATTGAGATCTTTATTACTCATGTGTAGTACAATACAATGCATGGAAGTCATTACTGAAATATGAGAATGCTCTATAAATAAAATCACTGAGTTAGACCAAAGATCTTTTATTCACCTCATTTACAGGAAGGATTTTCGAAATATTCACGAATAAACATTTACATATTTGCAAGCACAAATAAAGCAAGATTAGCAAGATTAATCTTTATGGCGATCCAGTGTAACAAACTTCGGTCACCAACAGCGTATCGAATTATTGAGCACGCCACGCAATTACCTCGATGTCACACAATCACCCAGAATAACATAGTTTGATGGAGCTCGAGGCCTCCAAAAGGTCAGATTACTAAGACGTCCATTCTCTGTGAACAAGGGTACAGAAAAGTTATGTTTGCTCAGAAATTTGTTGTAGAGAAGGGAGGAAAATTGAAAGCCACAGTAGGGCCATACGTGCACACACACATTTTAAAAGTCCTGAAGATAAACTCAGAGAAGACAAAAATACCTTTTGGAGACACCCATATACGGTCAAAATTTGTACAAGGGGACAGGGGGTCAGCATTTCCAAATTGTAGTGCTGAAGATGCCTGACTTTGAAGATTAAGTAAAAGGGAAATAACACTCAAAGAAAGATGAGCATATATGTCGGTGAACATTATAGATATGTTTGTTTTATCTTTAACGGAAGTATATCCCCCTGACACATCTACTGGATCAAGAACAACGAGGCCAGATCCAGCCTCCACAGTCAAATCCTTGAGGAGACCTCTTATCCATCTATCATCTTCTTTCGATGCATACCTATAGGAAACGCAAACGCAAGATATGTAAATTAATTTAGTACTGCAACCGAAAAAAATTGGTAAAAAATGTAGTGACTAATCTATAGGTGATTAGGGAGGTGGTTAGATCTCTGAAAAGGACCACCTGCTGAATTTCACGGCAAACAAAGAGATCCATACATACTATCTGGTCACAAGACCTATAAAATGAAATTGAAAGTGACAAATAAAACACGGAAAAGCTGATGCTCACATGAAGCTAAAATCTGTTTTTGCACGTAGAAGCTTTTCACCATGGGTAGAATCATCCAGGAATGACTTACTATTGTCATAGAAAGTGAACTCAGGAGAAACAACCTGATAATAGAGAAATGAAACAAGTCAGGGTACAGATTGTGGTGCAGCAAGTTCAACCATTTATATGGACAAAAGTGAACAGGATTCAAATAATTCCAAACTGTAGATACCAATTTACTTGCTATGACCTTAATGTTTGAAATATGATTCACTAACAGAACGCTTTAACGAAAGGTACAGATAATTACGGTTTCAATAATGTTCAATCCCTGAACACAGCCATTGTTCTCAAAAGAAAGAAATAGAGAAATACATGCCATACTAATATTAATTGAGTTGCGCCAAAGGTTTCATAAAAATGAGAAATGAAAAATTTGGCATTCTTCATTTTATTTAGTTGGGACTTGAAAGCCATACTTCAGCTATCTGAGACAAGCGTAACATTGCGAACTCTAGTTAAAAAACAGTAAAACCGTCAGAGTAAATAAGAGAATAACAACATCAGCAACTGAACAAAATATAAAGAGAATGAACTAAAAACAAACAACATGTACCAATAGATTAAGATAATTTACCTGGGCTTCAAAACTGAAACTTGGTGTTTTACTTGATTCGCAGTGAACTGTATTGGAAGCATGTAAAGTTTGTGAAACTTCCAAGTAATCTGAGCCTTCATGATTCTTATTCACAGAAATATCATCCAGAAAAGAAAATTCGACACCATCTTCTTGAGAAACTGAATAGCTGCTATCATTGCTCAAGTACGTGTATTTCCTCAAAAGCAAGCCATTCTGAAAAACAAGCAATTATTAAAAGCAATCTCAAAGATCAGGCAAAGATTCAACAAGTATTCCAAGCCTACATATAAGTAAAGGACTTCAGCCAAAGCAAACATAAATGGATGTTCATATCAAAAGACTAGCATGCTAACCAAATGAAAAAATAATTTTGGAAAGTTGACAAAAATAAAAGCTGACATACTGAAAGATCATACAAAAACTTCTAAAACTACAATTTCGGGGACCTGAAAGCTAAAAATTGAAATCAATCCAATATCATGGAAAATTTGAAATTACAATAACCCACTACCACTATAAAGATTACCGTTTCAGCAACTCAGAGAAATGCTCATATTTTATCAAAGCAAACTTCCAGTTGTGAAGAATCAGCCTAAACAAAATATATTGTAACTATAACTTTTTCATATTTTTATGATATGGAACTCCAATTTTAAGTGCAATCTCCTTCTAATCTATTTGTTAATTTAGTTTAGTCTGGCTGGTTTCGCTGGTTTCCTATCCTAAAATTAAGGTGAAATCGAGCGTATATTCATGACTATTTCCATCACCCTTTTTATCCTCTACCATAGAAGACAATGTTGTCAGTAGAAACACTAAACCAGCACACGATCTAAAACCTTCTCTCCAGATAACCCAACATAAGAGATAAAACTAATAGAACTAATTATAAAAGAACTTTTTTAGTCAGTATGCCTTGCTCTCAAGGGCAATGGAAAAGCAGGGGCAGGCTTTGTTACAGATTTAATCCCGATACATCCCCAAACAGACAGTGTGATGCCAGTTATGCAGAAAATTTCAGCAGCAAAAGCCCATGATTGATAAGGCACTGCAAGCGAAGGTTAGGAAAGCACAAGAGATGGTTTGAAGATTTGATTGCAATGGAACACGGAAAGGCAAAAATTCAGTGATGGAATATTATAATCTGTTGAGTGAAGTACAGAATTGTTCTACTAAACAACGTAGATTACAGTAGGCCACGAAGTAGAGTTTGCTCGGATGCGCATGCAGGTGCAGCTAAGTTAGTACCAGGGCTGAAAAAAGAATAGAATGTAGTTCTGTCCAGGTTGTTAGAGCCCAAGTATTAGCCAAAACCGAAGAAGTCCTAGTGTAAGATCAAAATGAATAAAGACAAGGTGGGGCATAACAAACACATCATCAGGGTGAGAGACACAATCTTCTGCATAGCTACTTGTCAGAAAATTTGTTATCTTGAATTTTCTCATTTCCAGTTCTTCAATTATATGGTCCGTATATTCTAAAATTGTTTCCTAGCTTGCTTTAGTCAACACTCGGAGTAGCTTCCTAAAACACTTAGAGATCGTCCACAATTTGTATTTTGAAATCCTCTTTCTTGAAATTAAAAAAATAAAATAAAAAAAAAATCAACAGACCTTTTTCATGTTAAATCAAAATATTTAAAAAAAAAAATCTGATAACATGTGCATAACAAGCATATACAAAAAGTAGTAGTACCTCAAATGTTACATTTATGAACCTCAGCCTCTTACACCGCCCTATGATAATTATGGGCCGGACGACAGATGAATGCAGCTCTTTTTCTCCCTTATTAACAAGACGTATTGTCTTGCCACAGCCATCATATATGTATTCATCAATCCCAATAGCATCAGCTATAAGTTGCCGACATGGAGAAAACTCCATCACATCTTCTGTTTGTTTATATAGAGGGGCAGATAGAACTATGCTGTTACTCTTGGAAATAGGATCGTTCTTAGGGTCCATCATTTCGTCCCTGCCAGTTATCCCCAAAGATGGCACAAAAAACTCGCAGATAGCCAGAAGAAAATCAGGAACAACAAGAATACGGGGCTGCTGCACCCGAACTACAAATGACTGTGATGAAAGGCGCCATCTTCCATCCATTAAAAACATCGTTGAATTTGGTAAATCAACAATCCGGTCAAGAGAAGTCTGCTTTGGGACATCAGTGGACGAGCCAAGCATCAGCTTCATTTCAGACTTCGTGTTTGGACGGATGTCTAAAATAGAGAACTTAGGTATAGTAATATATAAGTCCGCTTCTGATAAAGATGTCGTCCGGTATGACACCCAAAGACCTTCAAGCTGCAAGACGATCAAATCAGATACTACTAAAATATTTACATTTGATTAAAAATACGGATATGACTAGTATTGGCACAACCACAAATTGAACTCACAATAACATTAGCCAAAAGTGACTCCTTATCAGTTCCATAGCACAGCTCTAGCGATGCATAGCCAACCTCCACAGCTATAATAGTTACAGTACGCGACAAAAGGACCTGGCTATTCATGTTCACCTTATCAACAAGCAATTTTATTGTATCCTTGGCAGAAGAATCACTGCTGCGAAAGCTAGGAGGGAGAGATGGCTCTTCACACAAATTCATGTAGAAACAATTAAGAATAACATTATATTCCTTGTCCGACATCACAGCATGCAGCGACCCAACCTGTTCCACAAGAAATGGATGATGATACCAGCAGTAAATATATAATAATTCAAAGATTTCACATTGCCATATAGATATATCCAGGCATAGCAACAATGCTGAACACAATATTTTATGGTTTTAAAACAATTGCAAACCTTCGGCAAAATCTTTTCTTAGGCAGTCTCAACCCTTCCTGGGTTCAGAAAGAAGATCAATTCTCTTAACCTCTATAATTTAAACACAGAATTAAAATGAAACCTAAAACTACACAGTTTCATGGCTCATTCTCTAGACTACATTGTGATCCAGGCAGTACAGATATATTCAACAGTACGGATCATCTCTTAGGACCAACAGCTCATACGGCGTATGCAGTAGCATGTGGAGCAGTGAAGTTAAAATTGGAAGTAATTTTGCTCTTGCCGCCTACCTTGGAAAACATGAGAATATATTAACATCCTCAAGCATACAACACAATAGCTATCTACATGGAGGAAGACTAGAAATCAGCAAACCAAAAATCAGAAGATCAACTTCTGTGTCTAACACTAAAGGCACTTCTAAGTGACCATATTGTCTGAAGCCTAGTTAATTCCACAAAATCCGTCAAACTAAACAGAAGTAAGCTCGAGAGCAGACAGCCCTCAGACAATCTTTTGCAGTAAAGAATTGCAAATTGGATAGCAACTCAACGCCGACAAAATCTTGTTACTAATAAAACTTCTAATTAGTCAAGTAACGAAAGCCGAGTGCCAATAAAGAAGCAAAACATGTAATAAGTAATAACAGAAAATTTACTTTGACTTCCAAACAAAAAGTTGGGACTTTGCGAAACACATCTCTTAAACTGCGGCGAACAATAACATGGACTTCTCTTCCTTCCCGAATCATAGGCTTGCCAATGGAAGCATTAATTCCAACAGCCATATTGATTCCCAAAAGCTGTATTTATGTAGATAGTATCAGAGTATGACATATTTTAAGATAAATCATCAAAAATATGAATGGAAGTAACAACCTCCGCATCAAGAACATCAAGATGTACAGAAGAAGGATCTTTTTCTGGACCATGCCAACTGAATGAGTTTTGGATCCGTAGATGGCCAAGATCAAGTTGCATGAAGCTGTAAGCAACATTTCCACCCAAAGAAAAAGAGATTTAAAGAATACTAAAAAAATGGATAAAGAGATAGTATGCATATATAGATTTTGAAAATGTAGGAAAAACATATCAGAGTTAGATGGATCCAACATCAAATAATCATTCTTCAGATTCACCAAAGAACAAGAATGATCTAAATGATAGCCGTATGGTCCTTGACTTCAAGGAAGACAAGAAAGTCTTATCAACAGATCACTCAGTATTTAGTAATAAAATTGACAAAAATCTGAACCATACAAATTTATGCTACAAGTAAAGAACAAATGAAAACAATAGTGACTAACACTTAATCATGCATCTCTATGTACGAGGGGAACCACATTCAAGAACTCAGGCACTTTACCAAATATAGCTGATTTCATATATTGTCTGGAACAGTCGAACCATGAAAAAGGTCATCCTTGAACATAAATGTATGAAGAACTATTACTCCATAAATCAAGATTAGGCAGAAAGATGAGTCCTTATGGGCCTATAATTCATAAAATGGTTACAACAATACGAATAGTTATGTATCTACATAAGTACTACTGACAACACAAAAAGTTCAAGGGACTACATGAGTTATCAGCAATCCCACTAGATAAGAAGCATCAATAGAGCTTGACTAAAATAGTTTTATGAGAACGATTACAATGGTTCCTCTTAGTTTCCAAATCTGTGCAAGAAATACAAAAAGGTAACAGAGTAGTCAAGAACTTATACATCCAACTTCTTTCTGCTGAATGCATATGCGTCTGTAACAAAATTTAAAAATGGAAACTTACTCTTTGCTCAGTGAATTTTGGGGAACAACTATCATGGGATTATCCAGTGAAAGATCCAGTTTTACAGCAGATGCTCCATCAACCTCATATTTCTGAATCAGCCATTCTATTCCTCCGACTTTATCAACAAGTTTTATTGCTTCTTCAGTATGCGGAGTGGCAAGTCCCACAAAATAAGCAGTTATCTGCAGATGCACATTTACCAAATCTTTTAGAATTTTGGATACAAACACTTGGGAGATAAACAAATTATCCATTTTTGCCCTTTGTTGTCTTTTATAGACAAGCAAGGTTTCGGAAATTACTCCCATCTACCAAGTATTCTCAGACAGTTCCTTGTAAAATAGGGCAAAACCACATTCTGGAAAGCTGGCTTACCCTACCATAATGTTTTATTTCTAAATTAACATCAAGACGTTGGTTATAAGGACTAGAACATATGCAGTAAAAAAGAGAATAAGTAAAAGATAGCATGATTATTACAATGCAGGATCTGGTGAATCTTCAGACAAGGAAAAGGAGCTACCATAAAGGTCTTATGGTTTTACATGTAAAATGAAATCTTCTACTATCATAGCAATTGGAATCTTAGTAGAAAAAATTAGAAAGCTCAAATATAAAAAAGTGACTACATTTATCTTGTATACAATAGCAAGTAGCTCAAGTACTTCCCAAAATCTTCAATTTTTGGAATCAGCATTGAATGACCTAGCCATACTTTTAGGATCATTACACTGGCATCAAATTATAATTCTTTTCCAATCATCATTCCAGGAGAAGAAAACGCTACGCCTCATTTACGATTGCATAAAACAAGTTAAACAACACAAGAATTCTAGGATATCTAATTATTGAAGGTATTCAGACCACCAGGGTACTTATAGGGAAATTGCAGGAGAGACATTTCTGTTCTCTCTTCCTTAGGCAGACAATTTGTTCTAGGTAAGCATTTAAACCTCTTTATCTGCTAAATCATAAAAATAAGTAACATCTGATGGTTGAAATTTAACTAGACCTAGATTAAGTACAAATATAAGCATGAGCTTCTTAATAAAATAATGAAGCATGCAGTGAATATCAAATATACATCCATGCTCTTGATGAATAAACATCAAAGCAACAAACATAAATATCAAAAGCAACAAACAAAGTTAGGTCCATAAAGTGTGAACCCAGAGAATAAAGTAGATTTGAAATGTACCTCCTGGACAAATCTGTACAGAAAAACAATACGGACGGCAGAAAGGCGGCCACTTAAACTGTAATCATATCCTTCGTAATCGTCGTCTCCGATGCTATAAGACTTAAATGAAAACTGGAAAGAAACCAAAGGTTAAAAAGAGAGAGGGATTACCATTAGTTGGAAACTGGAGGCAAACAGTTAGACTAATATGTACCTGTATAAGGGATTCTGCTTCTTGGTTCCGCAAATCACAAAGCCAACCCCAGCAGTGGTTAGACCCAAGTGACAGATCACATAGCCTGAAGTTCCCCAAAGTCCCGTCTATAGATGTTGAACTTGGATGAACCTTATTTAATGCAAGAATTTATTATGATAATTAACTGTGATGCAGAAAATGATTTGCAAAGAAGCATATAACGAGGATAAATAATGCCGGACTACACTATATACAAATATACATACACCATTGGGTCTCTGAACATATGAATAAATAGAAAAAAAATGTAATACCTTGATATCCAATTGGAAACTTTCTTGCACAAACATAGCAAGTTGAGAATCGTCCTCCTTATTGAGAAACATAGTCACACTGTCAACATTCATGTGCAAATTAAAAACTACTCGTCCTTTCCCAGATCCCAATAGTCCCTTAATGGATGATGCATGTCCATATTCTTCTATCTTGTCTTTGTTTGCAGCAGACTCATCATCAGTATTTTCTAGATTTGAACCACTAACCACACCATTTGCTGAGCTCAGATCAAAACCAAAATTGATCAAAGCAACAACAGTGGGCCGGTTGCAATAAAACTCCAACTTGGACATCCGAATACTCATCTGAAAAGTATAAAACACCATTCAGAAACAAAACTACAGAGGATGAATATTTCAAGGTCCTCGCTCAAAAGGACGAGGATGGGGTAGTAAAAGACAAAGTGTCCATCAAACAATAGTGTACTTCAATCAATAAACAAAGAAAACAAAGTTATCCCTTTTGCAAACTCTCATTTATACATTTTCCTCAACCTATTTCCGGCAGAAAAGGGGTAGCTGGATAAAGCAGGAAAGGCAAGGAAGTAAGATATGGGGATGGCAAGAATTAACAATTGCAATGGGGAGTGATAGGAGTTGCTCAATGAAGATTCTAAACGAATGCTAGCTCAGGAGTAGGAAAAGGTCTCCTTAGGACTTCTCCCTCGCTTCCACTCATTCGGGCTCCCCGACTAGGGGATCCCTCTCTGCCTGCATGACCAACTGGGGGGTTTCAGCACTTTGAAGAGGAACGTTTAACCGCAGCAAGAGCTTGAAAAATTCAGTTCAACAGCCCAAGGACTAGATTTCTTATCTGGTGTGGTTGGATTCTGTTCAACAGCCCAAAGACTAGATTTCCTTATCTTTTGTAGAAGGATGGTAACTAACTCAATCCTTAGGACTGTTGGATGCAAAATATATATTAAATCTTAAGAAAAGTTGTGGCTGTTGATCTTCATTGTTTAGTAAGCTGCGGTTGAGATTGTGGCAGCAGCAGCAATGATCTAGCTGCTGGGGTACATCTTGAATAAAGAAAAAAAAAAGTGAATAAAAAAGATAAAAGTNAATACATTTATCCTTCAGAAGAATACCTGTGTATCAATACCATCATAATCAGGAGAACTGGGATTCCTCGTCAGAAATGTGACAGACACAAAATCAGAATCATCTGGACCCATTGCCTCATAAAAAACATCGCACGTAGCCATGGTTCCTGGAGAAAAATCCTTCTCGTGGATTTCAGCAGACTCATGGAAAATAACAAAATCTGGTAGGGCGTCTCTGAAGATATCGTCTTCTTCAACCATCTCTGCAGACAGGTCCTTCTCTTGAGATTCCAACTTGCTGGGGTTGCTACATGAATGCTGATCATTGATAACTGAACAGGCCAAATATTGTGAATGTGTAGATAGAGAACCCTGTAGCTCATCCTTGATTTTCAAAGAATTAAGCTTCACTTTTATAGTCAAGTCACTTATACAACTTGAGACGTGCATCTGCAAAAAGACAGAAATTAAAACGATTTCCAGTGTTGAGCTTAAATTCACATCTCACAAGGAAAAAAAAAACACACACACACACAAGATTTCAGCAAACCAATCAAATCTCAGAATTCTTCTAAGATATAAATAAAACTCAACCTCGAACATAAATCAACTCTGACTTTTTATGAAAACCAAATCATTTTACAAACCTTTCCGCCACTAGCAAGAACTTGCAGAATAAGCTTCTCGTGTATTCTCTCTTGTTCGTTGTCTCCAAACTGAGAAAATAGAAAAAGATGAAAAAGGAGTGTTCAGACTAGTAGAAATACAGAGGCAAAATAACTGCTGACTTTAGGAAAAAGACGATTAAATTACATAATATCACCTAAAAATAAAATATCTGGAAATTTCATATAGTCTCACCTTTCCGTATAGTGACAATTTCGTTTCTACTACTGTTCCATTGACAACAAGTTCAGCTGCTTTTGCATTACTGGACCGAGATCCAGCAAACTCAATTTGATCCTCTCTTGTATCATCAAGCATGTCTACTGAAGGAGGAGCCTTTACCCACATGATGGAATGTCAAAGATTACGTACTGAGTTATTCAGAAAGCAAAGAAGAATGTGTAAATCAAGGAAGATGAATTCATATCTTACAGAAGCACGGTATGTACTTAATACAAGTTCCCTCAACCAAGCCGACTTTATCTCCTCGTTTGGAAACTCTACTATCAGGGTACTAAAAGACTCCAGAGCCTTGTTTGCAAGTGAAAAGAAGAAAAATGAGGATATTGCTTGCTCAAGAAGTTTACCCCACAAATATTGCATATAAGAAGATTATATATAAAAGAAAATAAATAAATAAATAAATTAATTGTCTCTCTAAAAATACAGAATAACATACTAATCAATCACAACTCTAGCAACAGGAGCTCTTTCTCAGGACAATTATAGATGAGTACTGGGTAACAATTCTTAAATTCTCAAGTGTATAGAAGTTTGGTTGAATGTGGGTGGAAAGAGGCATATGGCACAATTTTTTTTAGAAAGACATGCAAAAATATAAATAATATAAAACAAAACAAAGTCCAACTGTACCAGTTTATAATACTAATAAATCACCAAATTTTAGATTTGAAATATTTAAGTCATCCCATAATTCATCATTAGACACCCAAAAAAGAATATAAAACAAGCGTCTTTAAACCACATATTATAAGTGCAAAGCCAGATGCACAAGCATTCCTAATGGTCTAATCGATATGATCTCAAAAAAAATAAAAGAATAGAATAGCAATTTTAAGCAGCCAACCAAACTAGTGAAACTTCACGTAAAATATGGAGGAAAAACATTAAGCTCGTAGGCAGCAAGGGAAAGGAGGAGCAGAAAAGAGATTATATATCAATAGCACGAGTATCAATGTGAAAAAATACAGGCTAAAAACATTTTGCATCCGAACAACCACACATCGTTTAGCACATCACATTTTTTCCAATCATTACATTACTTATTGCAGCAGGTTAGCATCAGGGTCTTTTCCTTTCTGTCATCAGGGTTGCTTCTCTTATCTCATGACTTACATTAAACAAACGTCACAATTTTCTACTTCGTAGAGAAACTTTTAGTGTTGCTTAAATACATTTATGCCATATTTAGGTTTTTAGATTAAATATTATTAAACATAAAACTTTATATGCATAACTATTATTGAAATAAAAAATTCTTAAATTTAGTTGTTAAATCAACCGACACCCGTGTAGTTCAATTTAACAATGTATATTCATATTTATAAAATAAAAAATCAAAATCAATTTATATCAATTATATTATTATTTTTATGTAAATGACATCCACTTATAAGACTCACTCAAAAACGTAGATATTAATTACTTTTATATATATTAAACAATTTAAAATTAAAAAATAAAAATCAAAATTTATATCAATTATATTATTATTTTTATTTAGAATGACATCCACATGTAAGACGCACTCAAAAAGGTAGATATTATTATTATATCTTTATATATTACTACATGGATGTCCATTGCAAATAGAGCTGGAAGAGTCATTGTTGACAATTCTCCTGGCATAGTGCTAATAATGGACTGGCTCAATTAAATTCTAGTGCTTCTTCTATTAGTGAAGTTTCTAGAAAAAAAAAATATCAAACGGCGCAATGCATCTTGGGTCGCTACGGAAACAGCCTCCTTGTATAATTACAAGGGTAGGGTCTGCGTACAACTAACCCCCCAAACCCCAATCTGTTGGGAATATACTGAGTATGTTGTTGTTGTTGTATATATTACTACATGGATATGAAATTGAAGAATATTAAAAGATAATTAATTTGATATTATAATATATATATATATAATATATATATATATAATATATAAAAATATGATAACACATATAAAAGTTTTTTAAGTTTTAAATTTTATTTCTTATTCAAGTGAGTCTAGTGTTCTAGAATTTTAAAAATCCTAATATGCAAGGTAAAAATCCATACCTACATAGACTACTCTAAAGTACGATAATTTGACATATAAGATTTACCAATATGATTACTAAGCACCAAAAGTTCACACACTTCAACTCGGGGAACTCCGCATTTATATATGAATAAAGTTGCTTTAACATAACTTTTTGACATAATGAATGACATAAATGATGTGTAATGCAGAAATTGTTGATTTTAAAATTGTTGCGACGTGTAAAACAACATGATCTTGCCATGTATGCATTATGTCGAACTTTATGTCAATCTTTATGCTATATGTAGGGAGAGATACACAAAATGAGAAAATATATGATTTGAAAATTCGAAGATAACAAATTAATGGAATTCAACATGTAATGGATTTTTATATAATTAAATGAAATGTTGTATCAAAACCTTGTTCGGTTTTCTGTAACATCTTAGTTATCTATTTAATGAGTAAACAATTGGTCCAGTAAATACTAATTATCCGCCAAAGAAGTACTAGTCATTATGAAGTTGACTATTACAAGAACCCATGTTTTCATTGCCACCTACCTTTTGGATATCCATGCCTCTATTGCACACCGCAACACACAGAGTCGAACCACCAACATTTGTCGAAGGAACATCACATACTTGTTTACCAGCCATACTGCAATTTCAAAAGTGGACAGTTTAAAA